GGGTCCGGCTCTGCCTGCGTCGCCGTCCCCACGGCCCCGGCCCCGGCCTCCTCCATGTTCCCATCCCACCCTTGTCCCCATCCCCTTCCCTGTCTGCCTCCTTTTCCCCGTCTATCCACATCCCAGTCCCCATCCCTGTCCACATCCCTGTCCCCATCCTCTTCCATGTCCCCTTCCCATCCTCATCCCTGTCCCCATCCTTGCCCCTGTCCCCATGCCCTTCCATGTCCCCATCCCTGTTGGCATCCTTGCCCCTGTCCCCATGCCCTTCCATGCCCTCATCCCAGTCCGTGTGCCCTTCCATGTCCCCATCCCATCCCTGTCCCTGTCCCCATCCTTGCCCCTGTCCCCATGCCCTTCCATGTCCCCATCCCATCCCTGTCCCCATGCCCTTCCATGTCCCCATCCCATCCTCATCCCTGTCCCCATCCTTGTCCCTGTTCCCATGCCCTTCCATGCCCCCATCCCAGTCCATGTGCCCTTCCATGTGCTCATCCCATCCCCATCCCTGACCCTATCTCTATCCCCATCCCTGCCCCTGTCCCCATGCCCTTCCACATCCCCATCCCATCCCTGTCCGCATGCCCTTCCATATTCCCATCCCATCCCCATCCCTGCCTCTGTCCCTATGCCCTTCCATGTCCCCATCCCAGTCTGTGTGCCCTTCCATGTGCTCATCCCATTCCCATCCCTGTCCCCATCTCTATCCCCATCCAAACATTGTTCCTGTCCCCATGCCCTTCCTCATGCCCTTCCCATCCCTGTCCCCATGTCCCATCTCCATCCCTGCCCCTGTTCCCATGCCCTTCCACATCCCCATCCCATCCCCTTCCACATCCCCATGCCCTTCCACGTCCCCATCCCATCCCCATCCCATCCCTGTCCGCAAGCCCTTCCATGTCCCCATCCCATCCCATCCCTGTCCCCATGCCCTTCCACATCCCCATCCCACCCCCATTCCCATGCCCCCCGGCTGGGACACCCACCTGCAGCAGGACCTTGACGCACTGGGGCTGGCAGGCGATGGTGGCCAAGTGCAGAGCGGTGCTGCCTGTCCCCAGGGG